GCATTGAATAAATAAACCCTCTAGCTTTCTTGGGTTAAGGACTCCACCATTTTTCTAGGGCTGTTCCAATAAACCATCCCATACTCAGTGACTTTGATCAACAGACATTTTTCTATTTTTTAGTGTGGAGGCTGGAAGTCAGAGATCAGGATGTCACGCAGGGTTAGTACCCTCCATGGTGTCTGAATCTGTCCTCTGCCTAGCCCTGGCTTGCAGCTTTTGGTGGCTTTTAGAGATGTTAGTATTCTGTGATTGGTTACTGGAGTGTGTCTTTGACCCAGAATTCCAGAATTCTCTCACCTTGCCACAAACATGACCTCCACTAATTTGAAAGGTTGAAAGGTAGTTGGTATACATGAGTTTGCCTCTGGGTACCCTGAAGATGCAAATCCATAGCTTTACCTGGGTGGGGTGCAAGTTCCTGGATGGAACACTGAACACATCTGGTGTTCCCTCACGGATTACTTCCCCATCACTGAAAAACTTCATGGAATCGGCAGGCATTTTTACTTGGTACCAAGAATTGAGTCAGCCTTTAATTATTCATTTTATTTATGAATCAAATGCCTCTAATAATTGCTATTGCCACAGGGGGAAATGTCAGGAAGGAGCCTTGGGCCAATGACTGGATTCTTCTGAGGGAGTTTATGTGGCTAGTTCTGTGGGTATCCTAGGAAAGGGTCAGGTTTGGGTGTATCACATACAGGGTTGGGCAAGAGTTGAGGTGGTTGCCATTTTTCTCTGGCGGTTTCTTGGGTTGAGTCAGACTGTTTATTGACAGAGATGCTAGGATACACGTGTCTCAGGAAGGGTTCTGACCTGTGTACTGAGGTCCGTGCGAATTTGATTCCTGGCTGTGACCAAACACTCCGCAGTGGTTGTTCTGATGGTGAAGAAGGAAGGTGTCATGGAACAGCTGATCCCAGCCGCACCACACGGGTTAACTTGGGTAAATGGATGTCTTGGTTAAGATTTCTATTGCTGAGAAGAGACACCATGACCAAGGCAATTCTTAGAAAGGAAAACATATACTGAGAAGTTCAGTCCATTATCATCATCATAGTGGGGAACATGGCTGCACGCAGGCAGACATGGTACTGAAGAGAAGTAGCTGAGAGTTCTACATCTTGCAAGGAACAGGGAGTTGACTGTGGCATTGGACATGACTTGGGCATATATGAGACCTCAAAGTCCACCCTCATAGTGACATACTTCCTCCAACAAGATCATACCTCCTTCAGCGAAGCCACACCTTCCTAATAGTGCCACTTGCTATGAGCTTATGGGGCAGCTACATTAAAAATACCACAACATATGAATCTTGGGGATCATTCTGCTCATGCCTTGTGAAAGCAAGGGACGTCACGAGGAAAGTCAGTTTGAAAGTAGTACTGTTTTTTTTTTTTAAATTTATAATGTGGCTGTGTGTGTGTGTGTATGCGCGCGCGCATGCATGCATGCATGCACACATATACCAAGGCATGCTTGTGAAGGTCATAGGATAACTCTCAAGAGTTGGGACTCTCCTCCTACTATGTGGGTCCTCTGGGGGTCCTTGCAGTCTCTATGGGCAGCAATGGAACAATCTGAGTTCAAGGCAAGAATGAAACTCGACTCAGTTTAGCTTTTCTTAGCCATCACCAATTTCAAACTTCCTGAGTCTGACACAAGACAGTAGGTTTTAGCCATAATTAAGCACAGCACCATTTTGGAGAAGTTTCCTGATGACAGTCAACTTACTACCCTTTGTACAACAAAACTTAAGATACGTTTATATTGAAACCTTGCAATGTGTATGTGGCGTCTTCCATAAAGATGTGTTCCATTGACTTAGAAACAATGTTCAAGCTAGGGCTCTAGGGAGAATGACGGAGGTAAACTTACTGCCTGTGGGAGTCAGGATTGGCCTGGCCCTAAGATAACATAGAAGTCACTTAGGTTGTTGTAAAATACGAGTGACACCTCTCACAAGGATGCAGTTTATGAACTGAGAAGCAAAGTTCAAGATTTGGCGGGAAAAGGTCTGGAATAAACAAATACAATATTCTGTGGGATTTGGGTGAAGCCTGGTCTTATAGACAGCAAAGAATCACCAGGTTGTAAACTATATCGTTTCCCAACCTTCTGGGTAGAAGACGGGTAAACATCTTTTTTTGAAGAGGCAAACTTCCTTATCTGTGTTCACAAGGATCTCTTACATACTACATGTTGTTGGCTCTAGGCAAGTTCTTTTGAAATGTTCGGCTGGCCAAGCTGAAATAAACAAAACACTCCAGTCCCACCTGTGTGCTGCCACTTTTAGGCAACCTCAGAGCAACCCCAAACACCCCAAAACATCCTCTGTGGGCCTGGCTGAGAAAGAATACCAAGGGAGAGACCTCAAAGACATTGCGCCAGGTTGGGGTCAACACATGGAGTGTTACAGTGTTGTCAGAGGTAGGAGTGGAGAGAGTGCCCAGCAGAAGGCCTGGAAGCAAGCCGTGACCTCTGCAGGATGCATGTAGCTCAGTGGAGGTGGGAGCACAGGGGTGATGTTCAGTGCAGATATCCCATCCCTTAGACACATAAAGATAAGGAGACGCGCTGGAAAGAGAGCTAACAGACTGGGGATGCAGAAGGCTTGAGAGTACAGCGCTGGGAAGAAAGGGCAGCATGCCATAGAGCCCCAGGATCTTGGCACCAGCCCAGCCAGCATCGCCCTTGGTAGGGGGTGCAGTTAGGATTTGCGTGTTCACGAAGGATGTCTTACCGAGCCCTGGGAGCACAGGCAGGTGTTTGCAGGAGGAGCAGAGAGGGAAACATCTGGAAAAACAAAGCCGACAGCGGGGAATTCTTACTTTCTTTGCAAGCAGCAACGGAGGTGAAATAGTTAGGAAACACGTCCCAGGAGTTCTCAAAGGGAAGAAATTATCCCAGCATCTGCTGAAACATTCAAGCCGACTTCATTTCCGGCTGTTGCTGAAGGTGTAACTGCTGCGATGGGGCTCTGCTATGGAGGGGAGCGGTTGAGCTCAGCTTGGAAGACCGCAGAAGTGGGATTTTTAGATGCAAGAAATGGGCTGGGAGTGCAAATCACTAAAGGGGAACTCAAGGGTGGGGGAGTCTGGCTAAACCGCTGCGCCAGGATTCCTCCCTCAGCAGGCCAGGAACTCAACAGCTGGGCTAGTAGGATCCCTGCCCAGTCAGAGGGTGGTCACGGTTGAGGAGTGGGGGTGGGTTACAGCCTAGTCAGCTTAGCCAGGTCTACAACCCAAACATCAACAGGTTTCTTTAGTTTAGTGTTCTAGTGGCCTCCCATGAATTTTCTGTTCCTCCCCTCCTGTCTCTTTCCTTTCCCTCCTCTTCCCTCTCCGCTCCTCCCTCTTCCAGGGGTCTAGATTTTTCATTACAACTGGACTTGAACTCCATATGTCATTCCTTATATTGTCCAACATGTTGTCCTTGACCTCAAGATCTTTCTTCCTCAGCCTCCTGAGTGCCAGGATTATAGGCCTGTGCCTTAGCACATACCTTAATAAATTAACTAACTAACTTTCTCTCTCTCTCTCTTTCTCTCTCTCTCTCTCTCTCTCTCTCTCTCTTTCTCTCTCTGTCTGTCTGTCTTTCTCTCTCTCCCTTCTTCCCTCTCTCCCTCCCACCCCCTCTTTCTTTCTCTTCTGTTTGGTTTTTTGAAACTGAGTTTCTCTGTGTAGCCCAGGCTGTCCTGGAACTTGCTTTGCAGACCAGGGTAGACTCAGAGATCTGCCTGCCTTCACCTCCCGAGTGCTGGGATTAAAGGCACGTGCCATTCTTTTAACAGCAGAGTTCTTGCTCAAATGGGACACTGCACACAGAAAAATGGATCGCTGAAAAGTGAGGTTAAGGGAGACTGGCAACTCCCGTGGAAAATGTGGTTACATGCAAATGCCCATGTGTGGTGTCTGCACAACATACCGGTCTGCAGGTGTTTCCATGCTTATTTGTGGGTGCTTTTAGTCTGTTTTAGACAGGGTTTTTACACAGTAGCCAAAATTGGCCTAATGACTTTATATCTATCCCCCATGGGCCTCAAATTCAGACATTCACCTGCCTCAAGCTTTTTGATGACAGGTATTGAGCTACCATTCCGGTTTTTTTTAAATGTATCTTTAGATATTCAGATTATGTATGGGAAAACTCGGGAATTTCACAGGAGATTGTAATCCTGCCTGGATGGCATGTACCCTGGCTTAGGTCCCTTCAAGAGAAGGGAATGAGACAATGCAGAACATGTTCGTGGCTTCTCTTTGCTTTTGAATGGTTTTTGAAGCTTGGTTGTGGAAATAACTGCTGTCTGAGGGAAGTAGAAGAAATTTTGAACAGCAAGGTGGGGTAGTGAGCAACTCAGGGAGGAGAGGCACCTTCTGCCAAGGCCGAGAGCCTGAGGTCAGTCCCTGGACTCACATGGTGGAAGGACAGGCCCGGGAACTGCATGCTGGCCTCTGACTTCTACACACATGCTGTGGCATCCACGCCACCCCTACTCCCAATAAATAAATGTGTTTTCTTTAAAAAGCAGATGTAGGCGAGGTGGCCTAGTGACAAACCTGGCGGGCCCGAGTTTCATGTCTGGAACCCGTACAAAGGTGCAAGGCAAGAACTGGCTGCACAGAGGTGCCCTTTAAATCGCCACACAGCATGCACCGTGGCATTTGCCTGACCTCCCTCGCCCCAATAATTAACAAAATAAAATTAACAAAAGAAAGAGAACAAACAAACAACCACAAGCTAATAACAAAAGCCACCATTGGCTGGTGTTTGGGCCTGGGGTAGACGTGTCTGAGTGGGAAGGGTAGGTGGTGTGTTATGGGTGGGAGCAAGAAGAGACGGGAGAGAGGGGCCTCATCTGAAAGAAAGGGAAGAGAACTTGTATTTTAATAAATCGAGCTAGCTAAAGTAATGGCGAGATGATTTTCATTGTCGCCCACGTGGTGTGACTTCACGTTCCCGGGTGGTAAGAGTATCGTTTATTTTATTCACAGGCTGTACTCAGACTATCTCTACTTTGCAAGTTCAAATAAATCTGCAGATGACTTTCACGAGAAGGTGACGGAGGCTCTGCAGCTGTTTGAAAATTGCATGCTGGATTATTCGCTGCGCGCCTGTGTCTACAACAACACCCTGAACAACGCCATGCCCGTGCGTATTCGCCAAGCCAAGCCCGTACAGAGCGGGGCCACTCGGATGCTATTCTGTGAGCGCATGCGCACCGGGGAGGGGGGTTCATTGTGTGAACAGGGTTTTAGCTCAGAGATGGGGGACAGAGCATCTGAATGTGCAGATGATACCGAGCTGCCTCGGAGCGGTGGCCAATGTGGGAGCGGATCCTCCTGCCTGGAGAGCCGCGAGAGCGGATCCTCCTGCCTGGAGAGCTTCGAGAGCGTTGGAGCAGCCTGTTGTCTGTGTCCTTCCTTGCCTGTCACCCAGACACTTGGCATCATGCATCCCCTCCCTTTACTAGGGATTCAAGGTGCACTTAAGAGGCCTGCCATTTAGTAAGGCTCCAAAGCGCACTCTGTAATTAGAGGCAGGAAGACTCTAGTCCTCAGGTTGTCTCGAGCATCACTGCGGCATGGGCCATTCTGTCGGTTTCCAAATTACCCGCTTGTGAGTCTGAACGCTCTGACAAGGTTTTCACTGAAGAATGTTCTCTCGACTCCTCTGTTGTTCACTGCCTCCTCTTAAGTAATACACCTAAGTTCCCGTCTTATGCAAACAACACAAAACTCTTGCTGGCTGTGAATCCAGTGACTTAGCTGAGGTTGCATCTCCACTGTAGGCTCCCGGGTCTAAGTGCTTGCTTCCACAGCGGGGCTCATGCCTTAGGTAGTTACCTGTCCCCATGTAAAGCCATGTCACACGTCAGGTATGCACAGATGGCTGTAGGTGAGACCCCCCACTCCAGGTCAGTGAGGCTCAGAGGAAAGACTTCAGTCTCTCTGCCTGGCTTCTCAGACCATCTTTTCGTACCCTGGGGTGTCTTCCTGCAGACATTGTCGCTCAACAAGGAAGATAAGCAGAGGTGGCTACATTTTCAGCTAGGCAAGCTTTGGAGGCAGACGGTGGCGTGGGTTCACTCTGGCTGTGTGACTCTGTACAACTGTCATGGCCTCTCTGAAGTTGAGCTGCTTCATTCTAAAACGGCCAGACTTTTATGGGAACTCAAGACTGAGAGTCGTTTCATGTGTTTCTGCATTCATAAACGTATGGTACTGCCCCGCCCCGTACAACTGGAGCCCCCCGAAGAGTGGAAGTGCTCCAACCTGGCTGGGAAGTGATGGACTCTGCCTGTGTTGGCTGCCCACCAGCCTGGGGCTGTCCCTCGACACAGACCCTCCTGTTGCTGGAGCTTGCTTTTACAGACAGAGATAGTGAGGCTCTGTCTTGTTGCCTTTTATAGCCAGCTACACAGTAGATGGAGAATCTGAGACCCAAGTCTAGGCTTTGAACCCAACTATCTTGGGGGCTCCAGCCTGTCTCCAGAAGTCCGCTCTCTCGCGCTAACACGCAGCAGGCTCTGGAGGGTGGGAGAAGGCAGGTGGTCTGTTGGGAGGATTCAGATAATCCTGGATGCCTCCTGCCTCAGGGTTGCTTCCTTCCCGGACCTTCTGGAATTTCCTGTTTGTGATGGTGGTGTGCATCTCTCAACACAGGCCTGCAAAGAAGGGAAGAGAGAGTGGGGCAGGAACAGGCCAGATGGACAATGAGAGGTGAGGGGCTTGACTAGTGTGTCTCCCAAGAGAGGCAAGGACATTCTCACCCAAGCAGTCACCACCCAGCTCTTTCTTTGGGAGCTCTCCTGAGGAAGACTTCAGAGAGGGAGGGACGGATATAAGCTCATTCCAGCCTCAGTTGGCTGGGCTTCATGGGGAGAGAGAGGCAGGTCTTTGGGAGTTCTGACACAGGCATTGTTGGATTTAATAGCTGTGAACCGAGCTTCTCCTGCCCTGCAAACAAGGGTCAGCGTCTGCTAGAAGCTGATCTATATGCGGTGACATTTCATTCTACCCTGAGCTATGTCCTCGGAAAGACAAAGCCTGCACCAGCCAAGCTGGATGTACTTTGGCTGTCTCTAAATAGCCTACCTAGAGACAGGATATCCGCAGCCATTTCCTCCCACAGAGAAGAGGGGCCGTGCCTGGTGTGTTTCCTCTCTTCTTCCTGGCTACAGGCTGACTGAACATGGGATCACCATTATGACTGGGTGGGAAGTTCATGGGTAGCCGTGTGATACTCTCCACCTCTGGGTGGACTAGAAGCATCCTTACTGAATGTTTGCCAAATCCATTGGTGAGAGACAGGAAGTATCTAACTTCACTGAATACTATCCTAAACTCTGCTTTCTCCCTGACCTCTGAAGTCACTCCCATTTTACAGATGGGGACACTGAGACTCATGGAAGGTGTCTCCCACCTACAGCTAACAACAGGCTGCCAGTTCCGATAGGCTTTGAAACTGGTCTTCCTTTCCTCGCTCTTAAAAGTGGTTCTGAGCCAGCAGGAGGCGTGCACTCTGAATTTCACTTGTGGCTTGCCGAGGTTGACAACACCATAGCGTGGTGCCTCTTGTCTCAGGGAGAGAGCTCCAGGGGCGTGGCAGTAGACAGGGTGGCTGAAGTCCAGGAGGGGCTCTGCACCAGAAGAGGAGTGGGCAGTTAGGGATGGAAAAGAGACTACTTCAGGAGATGGTTTTTCACTGAGATGGGGGAAAGGTCCTTTGGAGCTGCCCGTGCAGCCCATCTATAGCATGGGGAATGTGGTCTGGTCTCCTGGGTGCTGGCATTGCAGGCGTGCCCACCACAGCTAGCCCTGGGTACTCTGTTAAGGCCTTCATATGGCACCTCACTTCCCAAGGGCCTCCTCCCTTCCCCACAGCCCCTCTTTTTCCATCACCGTGTCATGGCCACCGTCTCCCCACTTAGGTCCTCAGATGGCCTTTGGGCAGGGCCTCTGCTCCCCCTAGATGTCATGTAGCAGATCCTGCTGGAGGGTGCAGGTGTGAACACCCCTCTAGGCTGGGGGTGCGGCTGCAGGTGGAGAGACCCATCTGCCTAACTGGCCTGCTGTGGAAATGCGTGTGCTCCGTTATGCTGGGCTCCGGAGCCTTCTCTGTGGCTCTTCCCCCTCTTCCTCGACATGCTTCCCCTGCCTGTCTGAGAACGTCTCATCTTTAATAGCTTTCTTTAATCTGACCTCCCCTCCATAACACTTGTCACAATTGGTGATGACAGGTGTCTGTTCCTTGATCGGTTCAGAGCTGTCTCTGAGGAGTCAGGGCCTTGCCTGTGAAGTAGCGTCACATCACCACTGCCTGGTGTGCTGCTTGATACACTGTGTGAACGCACAGCATTTGCTGAATGAATGAATGAATGAGTGAGCCTGAGTGGGGAGAAGGGAGGCTGGGTGGGGGTCCCACCTGAAACTGGAAGAATAGGGAGGGCAGCAGTGGCACCTGTTTGGGCCAGAGTTGGGCCTATGACTTGGTTTGACTCAAAAGTGGATCGCCTCTGGTGCTTTCTGGGATTCCCATGAGTTGGTCCCTAGTAGTCTTTAGACTCTTCAAGGTACTTTTTAGGATGTCCTGTGTTGCTTCCTATGCCTCCCTGAGGTGTTCCTTGGGTCCCCCATAATGTACTCCCTCAGGCCCCATGAGGGCCTTTGCTCTGTGGTGGAACAGGCGTCATGTCCGTGAGGGACTGGACCTCATGGACTTTGTCAGGAGTTAGCTACTAAGTCCAGGCAGACACCACTGCCCTCCTGTCTCTGACTCTTTGTCATTGAGTCACCAGGCATCCATAGCTCAAAGGCTTCCTTCAACTCCGGCGTTCTCTAATTTTAAATATACTGGGCCCTTGCCCTAAATATCTTCTCTGCGTTGGTTCTATTTTGATTCTCATTCTGTCTTGATCCCCATCCTAAGCTGGACAGATAGGAGTTAAACAGGACTTTGCGCGGTGCTGTCTTAGGGGTATCTTCATGGTTCCCGTTTGCAACCGTGTTTGCTGCATAGATAATGTCCCTGAGGGGCCCAGAGCTCTCCCTGGCTGAGGGGGAGGTGGGTTCTGGAACCAGCTGGTGGGAGGCTCTCCCCTTGGGAGCCAGCACATTTATGGCATCCCTCGTCCTCACTGCCTGGACCAGCCCTCCCTGTGAGGAAGGCCCTGTGCACTCAGGACCCTGCAGGGCTGTGTCCCGAGGACAGTGGTAGACTCTCACCAAGATGGTCTCTGAGGTTCTTCTGCCACCAGGGCAGATGCAGGGGCAGGATACAGCTGCTCTAAGCATCAGTGTCCTGTTGTTGACCAGTCACCCCCTTTTCCTTCTGGAAAGCTGTCAAGTTACAAAAGTAGTTAGTTTTTCTGGAAGAGATGAACCTTGAGAGGCCAGGCTGTCTGCAAACTGGTCGGGAAGAGATGAGGAAAGCCCCTGGAGTCCTGACCTCACACGGTGTTCTCGTTCTTATTCCATGTTGGAGGCCCCGTGAGTGCTTGTTTCTGGGACTGGCACGTGCCCTTCGCCTTCAGCCCAGTTTGAAGTCTTTATGAGCCGGTGTGTAAGGCAGTGGTACTAGAGCGAGGCGTAGCGACAGCTAATGGATTTCAGAGACAACTTAGGTCTTTCCTCTAATTGTTTTCCTTCCTCCCTGGCTTCCTCCATCGTTAGAAAAATGATGAACTGGAAAAAAAAAACGTGAGAGATGAAAATGGTTAGCATCTGCACGCACTCTGTCAAATGTTCCCTTGCTGTGTTAATACCGTGTTCAGCGGTTCCGCCAGGAGCTGACGTTGACTGCTACACAAAGCTTTATATGAGGTGACTTGATGGCCCTGCCCCCAGGAATCTCAAAGTCAAGTTGGTCAGGGAGAATGATGAAGAGTGCTTGCCTCAATAAACAAATAAATAATAAGTGAGAGAATGCCCCCATGGAGGAGCCTAGGACTGGGAGGAGCCACAGAAGAAGAATGGATTGGAAGTTGGAGGCAATTCAGGGCTTTCCAAATGGAGAGCCCTAGGGCCCTGAGCCAGGCCAGTGAGGGCCAGCTCACTGCTTTACAAAGCACATGCCCATGACAGGTGCAAGGACGAAGTATAGCGATGAGAGACCCAGCCAGGAGCCTTGTGGGTGTCTAGTGAGTGTTAATAGGAGTTGACAAAAGGGTCTGAGTAGGGAGGTTGAAGGGGTGAGATGCTCCCACCTCTGACGCCAGCCCATCTGGGTGTTCTGGAGGAAAGTCACCAACCATCTTCAAGTTTGGTATTGCAGAAGAGTTCACAGGGCACACCAAAGGCTCCTATGATCGTCACTATAACTTATGGCATGGAAGGATTTGGAGTCACATCCGCAAGGGAAAGTGAATGGCAGAGCCTTCAGTTCATGCCTCCCTTCAGTCAGAGGTGTGCCCAGCACCTCCGAGCAGTGATAGATGCAGGACCACATGACCACCATGAGGAATCTTGTCACCCCAAGTTGTAATGTCCAGAGTTCTTATTGGGATTCCATCAATACTGACCCTCTGAGCAGGGATACAGAAACATACTTAAACATAATAAAGGCAATATACAGCAAATCAACAGCCAACATCAAACTAAATGGAGAGAAACTCTAAGTGATCCCACTGAAATCAGGAACAAGACAAGGTTGTCCACTCTCTGTCTATACCTATTCAATATAGTTCTTGAGGTCCTATCTAGAGCAATAAGACAACAAAGGGAGATCAAGGGATACAAATCAGAAAAGAAGAAGTCAAACTCTCACTATTTGCTGATAATATGATAGTTTACATAAGCAATCCCAAAAATTCTATCAAGGAGCTTCTACAACATGTAAGCGCTTTCAGTAATGTAGCAGGATACAAGATTAACGCAAAAAAGTCAGTAGCCCTTTTGTGCACAGATGATAAATGGGCTGAAAAATAAATCAAAGAAACATCACTCGTCATAATAACTACATATAGCATAAAATATCTTGGAGTAACTCTAACCAAACAAGTGGAAGACCTGTATGAGAAGAACTTTAAACCTTTGAAGAAAGAAATTGAAGAGGACACCAGAAAATGGAAAGATGCTCTTAGGTAGGCAGAATTAACATAGTAAAAATGGCAATCTTACCAAAAGCAACCTACAGATTCAACGCAATGCCCATCAAAATTCCAGCAAAATTCTTCACAGACCTCAAAAGAACAGCATTCAACTTCATATGGAAAAACAAAAATTCAGGATAGCCAAAACAATCCTGTGCAGTAAAGGCACTTCTGAAGGCATCACAATTCCTGACTTTAAACTCTACCACAGAGCTACAGTACTGAACACAGCCTGGTATTAGCATAAGAACAGACAGGAGGACCAATGGAACCAAATCAAAGACCCAGATATTAATCCACACATCTACAAACACCTGATTTTTGACAAAGAAGCAAAAAATATAAAATGGAAAAAAGAAAGCATATTCAACAAATGGTACTGACATAACTAGATATCAACATGTAGAAGAATGCAAATAGACCCATATCTATCACCATGCACAAAACCCAAGTCCACATGGATCAAAGACCTCAACATAAATCCAACCACACTGAACCTTATAGAAGAGAAAGTGGGAAGTACACTTGAACACACTGGCACAGGAGACTGCTTCCTAAATATAACCCCAGCAGCACAGGCACTGAGAGAAACAATTAATAAATGGGACCTTCTGAAATTGAGAAGCTTCTATAAAACAAAGGACTTGGTCAACAAGACAAAATGACAGCCTACAGAATGGGAAAAGATCTTCACCAATTCCATATGAGACAGAGGTCTGATCTCCAAAATATACAAAGAACTCAAGAAATCGATCATCAAAAGAACACATAACCCAATAAAAAAAAAATGGAGTACAGACCTAAACAGAGAACTCTCAACAGAGGAATCTAAAATGTCTAAAAGACACTTAAGAAAATGCTCAACATCCTTAGTCATCAGAGAAATGCAAATCAAAACAACTCTGAGATTCCATCTTATACCAGTAAGAATGACCAAGATCAAAATCACTGATGACAACTTATGCTGGAGAGGTTGTGGGGTAAAGGGAACACTCCTGCATTGCTGGTGGGAGTGCAAGCTGGTACAGGCCCTTAGGATATCAGTATGGCGATTTCTCAGAAATTAGGAAAGAACCTTCGTCAAGACCCAGCAATACCACTTTTGGGTATATATCCAAAGGATGCTCAATCATGCCACAAGGACATGTGCTCAACTGTGTTCATAGCAGCATTGTTTGTCATAGCCAGAACCTGGGAAAAACCTAAATGCCCCTCATCTGAAGAATGGATAAGGAAAGCGTGGTACATCTACACAATGGAGTACTACACAGCAGAAAAAAATGACATCTTGAGATTTGCAGGCAAATGGGTGGATCTAGAAAACATCATATTGAGTGAGGTAACTCAGACCCAGAAAGACAAACATCATATGTACTGACTCTTAAGTGGCTTTTAGACATAAAGCAAAGAAGACCAATTTTCAATTCACAATCCCAGAGAACCTAGACAGTAATGAGGACCCTAAGAGAGACATACATGGATCTAATCTACATGGGAAGTAGAAAAAGACAAGATCTCCTGAGTAAATTGGGAGCATGGGAACCATGGAAGAGGATAGAAGGGGGGAGCAGAGAAAAATGTACAGCTCAATAAAATCGATAAAAAAATACTGACCCTCTTGTTATTCTGGAGACCACAGCTCCATTAGAAATCATTGTTAGCTTGACTGGTGCTCACAGTCTAGGGAAATAAAATTGCTTCTGCTGGGCAGTGCAATCCAGAGGCCTCAGCAGTCATCTCCTTGGCCAGAGGGCAAGAGCTGGACCTATCTTTGAGTGTGGGTCAGTTCTTTACTACCAGTTTCTAGGTTGGCATGAGAGAAGGAACAGGGTAAAAACTCAGGAAATGAGTAGGAGGGAAGGAGGAAGGCTTTGCCTGTGCATTGGTTTTATTCCCCTATGGTTATGTTCTAAGGGCATCATGACACGTTCACGGTCATGGTTGCCTTTGAGGTGTCTATTGTGATTGACAGCAGGGAGACAGCCACCCACATGTCATGCAAAGGACTTTTATGCCCTTGACATCTTTCCTAGGCTTCTGTTCTCACTTTTGAGTAGAGGTGGGAGCCACCCATGGGTTGTCATGAAGATTATGTACAGCCCTAAGTGTGGGGATTCTTTGCACATGTGGCACCGACGCCTTGTGTTAATATTTGACTTCAGAAAGCAATCGCTAGCTAAGATGAGTCTGTGTTGCTTTACAGAGAGATTTCTGTCATGCTTTGGAAAAGCAGCACGTAGGGCTAGGGAAGTGTTTTCTGCAGTAACATCCTCCTCTTCCTTCCTAGGTGAGGCTCCAGGTTGGGCTGTATGCTGTGTACCTTCTGGACTGGCTCACTGTTTTTAATAAGGAACAGTTCCTCATTCTGCGTCTGGAAGACCACGCATCCAATGTCAAGTACACCATGCACAGGGTCTTCCAGTTTCTAAACCTGGGTATGTGCCATGCTTCAGGTAGTGTGGCTCCACATAAACCCCAGGAACATGAGCTTTCTCATTTGTGTGTATTTGTAGTGTGTGTGTATATCTGTCTGCACCTATGTGTATTGGTGTGTGTGTGTGTGTGTATGTGTGTGTGTGTGAGAGAGAGAGAGAGACAGAGAGAGAGAAAGCATGTGTATCTGTACCTATGTGTGTTGGTGTGTGTGTGTGTGTTTGTGTGTGTGTGAGAGAGAGCAAGAGAGCACATGTATGTGTGTGTATATCTGCACCTGTGCGTGTGTGCTGGGGTGTGTGTGTATCTGCACGTGTGTGTTGGGGTGTGTGTGAGAGAGTGTGTGTGTGTGAGAGAGAGAGTGAATGTGTGTGTGTGTGTGAGAGAGAGAGACAGAGATAGAGAGAGACAGAGAGAGCATGTATAGTGTACCTGTACCTATGTGTGTTGGTGTATGTGTGAGAGAGAGCAAGAGAGCACATGTATGTGTGTGTGTATATCTGTCTGCACCTATGTGTATTGGTGTGTGTGTGTGAGAGAGAGGGGGGGGAATGTGTATCTGTACCTATGTGTGCTGGTGTGTGTGTGTATCTGCACATGTGTGTGTGTGTGTATCTGCACGTGTGTGTGTGTGTGTTGGAGTGTGTGTATGTATGTGTGTGTGAGAGAGAGAGAGAACAAGTATGTGTGTGTGTTGGTGTGTGTGTGTGTGCGCACACACAGGTAAGAAGTCAACATCTGGTATCTTCTTCACTCTTCTCATTTTTTTGAGAAAGGGATCTCATGGAACCCAGCTTGTTTTGGTTAGGCTGGCTAGCCAGGGAGTCTCAGGGTCTCTTTTTCCTCCTTTCCAATGCTGGGGTTAGAGACACATGCTGCCATACCTACTTTTTAAAGGGGATGTTGAGGATTTAAACTCAGGTTCTCGTGTTTTTAGAACAAGCCTTTCAAGTACTTTACCCTCTGAGACAACTCCCCTTCTCCATGGCATGTGGGCTCTTTAGGAGAGCACTAGGTTAAGCATAAAATGGGAAGAGATGGACTATGTGAAGCTCAGGGACTTCTGAAGAAGTCCTCCATTCTTGTTTACTGGGTAGGTATCGCTGCCCGCGGCCCTGCACATGCGGTGGTGGGCAGGCTGTGGTGAGGAGATGCTTCTCTCAGCTCTTTCAACCTAGAGGAAGGAGAAGGAAGCCCGGTCTAGCTCACAAAATGACTGTTGGTATCCATGGGGAAGGTACTGTCATGGTGGGCCTAGTGAAGATGGGGGACCCCAGCTGCTTCAGAAGCATAGAGGCGCTAATGAAAGGCCAGAGAGGGTGGCTTGAATTGTGAAGCAATTCAAGGCCACAGTGGGTGGCTAGGACAGCTCCCCAAGGACATGGAGTTTGAAAGTATGGCTGTTACAGCATCTCAGGTGTTTGGTAGGGAGTCCCTGAAGTCAGAAGTGGCTCATGGTTGACCTTTGGCCTGCCTTCAGCCTGAGGAGACCAGCTGAAGGGCACTCTGCTAACTGACTGTGCCCCTGGCTGGTAGAGGCACATACAGAGGTAAGAAGTGATGTCTGAGTGTGAATGAGTCACCCAAGGACAACTGCTGAGGCTGTAAATGTCAGCCCATGCCGCTTTTTCATGGGACATTTCCTATAGTCCGGTCCAATGACCTGACCTAGGAATTCTGTTAACTGAATGTTTTTTGAAATTTATTTGACCACCACTGGTACTTAGGACTCTTATCTTGTAAATTTTCTTTTTTTTTTTTAAATTATTGTTCTTGTTGTTGTTGTTGTGTTATTCTAGAACTGATATGGGCTGAAATATAGACACTCTCTTTTCCATTTAAGACTTAGAACCATTTTTCTTTGATTTGACCAGTTGTAAATCTCTTGCATTATGCCGTTGCCTTCTGTTCCTAAGAGGGGCAGGACTGTAAGGTCAATTTTTTGGTTTGCATAACCCAGGGATAATGCGCTATTGTAATGGTTTTAGTTGGGTTCTACAAGCTTGGGGTCTGGAAGCACGAGGAGAGAGTGGTCTAGTGACAGGTTGAGCCAGTGAGCAGCTGATGACTCAGAAGTTTGGGGTGTGAGCTATAGCCTCATGTGTAACCCCTGCTGGCCTGCCCTGGGGCATTTCCCCACGGATGCAATTGCTGCAGGTGCAGGGGCTACCAGTCCTCCCACCCTTATGGCCAGGGCATAAGAAAGAGGAAATAGAACTCACTCAGGCCTAGGCCCTTTACGTCACTCAGGAACCCAATGTGAAAATGATGATGGCAGAATTCCAGGCAACCAAAGTCTCTGTACATAGTTACCTAGGACAACTGAGGCCCCTGAAGGGCGGCCAATGCAGAATGGCTGGAGGTGAACTCCGAGGTGTGCCAAAGGTGAAGGGACACCATCCCACAAGGGCAGACATGACCCTAGACTTTAGAATTGCTTTACAGTATCTAGTGGCTTCTTCCCTCTTTGGTTTCTTTCAGTGGATCTCACCAGGTCTTTTTTTATTTCATTTTCTTTAAAAAAAAAAATGATTAGTTTTATTTTATGTTTGCTCTACTTGCATGCATGTGCATGTACCATCTGTGCACCTCGTGGCCTCGGAGGTCAGAAGAGGGTATCAGATCCCCTGGAAGTGGAGTTGCAGAATCATAGGTGCTGCAAGAATCAGGGAGGTTAACCACTGAGCCATCTTTCCAGTCCAGCCGTGTATCTTCTTACAGGGACATCTTGTCCTTGCCTGAAGTACAGCAGGACCTCTTGTGACGTCCCTTCACCTCCCACCTTACAGGGCCATTTTCCTTCTCATTGTAGGGCCTCTAAGTGAGAAGCAAGAAGCGTTGATGACCAAGAGCCCCGCGTCTAACACACGGCGTCCCGAGGATCGTAGCCTGGGGCCCATGTGGCCAATCACGCAGAAAATTTTGCAGGACTTCTATGGGCCTTTCAACACTAGGCTGGCACAGATCCTAGATGATGAAGCATTTGCCTGGAAGACGACGTGAGAGCCGAGTCCCTTCTGCCGGAGCCGGACCTATAGACTCTGTCATTGCCATGACTTTAAAAGTCTCCTGATGGAGAACTGTCACCTACAGTGTGGAGAAAGCCACTGGCGCCCCTCTTCTCCTCCCAAGGCGATAGTTAATCGGAACTATTCGACATTTTTCTTGCCGTGTTCAACAGCTCTGCTCTTGAATTCTTCCACCTGAAGCCTTGGAAAGTACACTGGAGCTAGAGTCCTGTCTGTTCCCAGAGTACCTTGGAGCTTAAGAGGGTAGACTGGCATCCAGTTTGTAGGAAGAGGAGGTTTGGGGAACCCACAGACCAGCCCTGACCTCCTACCTCCAGGAGAGCTTGTCTGGGTGTAGGATTGGACAGCTCTGAGATCCGATTAAGTCCAAGCTCACTAGAGGCCGTGCTTTCGGGCTGACTGGAACCACCCTTCATGTGTTATTTCCCGGTACACCTTGCGTAAATGGCTAACCCCATCTAGAAGAGAAGGAAGCTGGTTGGAGAAGAGAGGCACTTTTCATTTTGGTTTGTATTCCCAAGTCAGTCCTTCAGTGACATCAAAAAATAAGCCCTGTTCCCTTTGCTGTGCCCAAAACAAAACAAAACAAAACACCCTGGCGTTTGGCAGCGTGCTATCTCTCTGACCTCCTATTCTGCCCCCGCAGACTGTATTTATGCCCAGCATAGAGAAGGGGCACTCTTAAACAAACTGCGTCTTGAATTTGACTAACTCAGCCTCTCTTTTCTGCGCCTTTGGATGTTTTCTCAAGAAATTCAGTTTGTATTTGGAAAGGAAAGTTTTGGTGTTAATGCCGGAATAGAGCAACCTCCAGGCATGGAACAGTTGGCGGGAAAGGAAGTGAAACCCTCGCCATATGTGGAAGGTCACCAGAGAGCGCAAGCTGCGTCGGTTTCTGGTTTTGGCTCATTACAGGCTCCCTCCCTCCGTCTTCCTGTTGGAAGAATCTTTTACCCACATTCTTTGTCGTGTGTGGCCAAAGTTCCATACTCACGAAGGATCTTAAGACACCTGTGTCCTCAGAAACACATCTCACAGACTTAGCTTGGGCTATATGTGGTGTGTGGTGACGAGATAGCTTGGCTCTCTCTATGGACCTTTCTGGACCTTTTTAGGAACTTGGTTTGCAATGGGTAAGCTGAAGGTCTTGTCATCCAGGGAATACCAGAGAGAACAGCTTAAGCCCATTTGGCACACAGGGCCAGGTGGAATGTCACAAAGCTCCCCCCCTGGAGTATTGTCAAGGGATGCTTCCTGGGAAGCTGTATTCTCAGGTCAGGATCCTGTCCACCAGCGTCAGAAAGTGTACACACTACATACCCGACTGTCACGTGAATGTGTGAGAAGATCCTGGCGTTGGTGGCAGGAGGAAGCGCAGTTGCTCGGCTGTGTTACTCCTTCTGCTGTCCACCATTGCTGGTTTGGGACTCTCAGCCCATGGGAAAGTTCGAAAGAGCTCTGAGCATCAGCATGGACTGGGCCAGCTCTGCTACTGAAGGGGCTGTGTGTCTTGAAGTCTGCATTCCAGGACAATCCCCCTTTTCTCACAGCCTGCACTTGGCTGAGTCGCCAGTGGGGAAATCTGGCCTGAGTACAAGGATGCTTTGGGAAGAAATGATGAGAGAGAGAGAGAGAGAGAGAGAGAGAGAGAGAGAGAGAGAGAGAGAATGAATATTTATTTGGAATACTGTGTGTGTGTACGCGTGGCCGTGTGGCGTGTTGGAAGAGCGCACATGCGTGTGGGTGCTTACACTGAGTGGGTTCCCCTCAGCTATCTTGCTGATGAGGCTTCTCCCTCCATTAGAGACACAATGCCTTTATGGATTAATTTCTCCACCAGTTAGCCTGTCATTTCCAGAACATATCTCTCACCACCCCATCCCATCCACAATTATAAGACATTTTTCTTGCGCACTCCTATGCATGTGAATAACATGTAGCGTAACTCTGCTTCTTACAGAAGTATTGCCAAAGGTATTATTTCCAATATTATTTGGTTCATTGCTGATCTTTTAAAATATGCAGCCCCTCCCCTTCTTCCATCCGGGGCTCTCCAGACCCGGTTTTGCCTCTAATGGTCTCTCCCCAGGCGTCACCAGCATTGCCTTTGCTTTTGCTCGGTCGAGGCCTCCACTTGTTTGAGAGCACAGGTAGTGTTTTGGGTGGTAGCTCCCTAGCGTGTCACCCCAAACCAAAGCAAAACACAGACCTGGTACCGAAGACACTTCATATTCCCAAAGCTGTGTGCCAGGTCGTATGAAACCTTCCCTCCCTGTGTCATATAAGGTATGATATGCGAGTCACATTTATTCTGTACTTTTATTCATATTTAACATAATTAAAGATGGACCCACACAACTGGTGCCTGTAGGGAGTGGGCACTCCATCACAAGCTTGCCAGCCGGTTCTTTCCATGGTGTCCTGTGTGTGCGAGTGAGTCACAGAGGGTGGGGGGACAGTCACCACCTCCCCTGCCTTCCTCATCACAAAGGATTCGCCCATAATCCTCATAGCAGAAGAAAATCCCAGAGCAGTCACAGGGCCGCACCTGTTCCCTGGGGAAATCCCTGTGGAGGCCTGCAGTGGTTGGCAGACAGGCTGGGAGGTCCTGTCCAGCTCCTGGCGGCTCTCCCATGGTCTTCAGATGTAGGAATCTAAGATTGAGAGACCACTGGCCTCAGGGATGTTGAGTTTGGATGCTTGGTGCCTCTGGGTGTATCGTATCACTGGGTAGGCAGGGTCTCTTGCTGGGGCTTGAGGAAGCTGGGCAAGCTTGAAGAAGAGGATATCCCATTCAGCATTGGCCTCCATAGCAAAGTAACCCAGATAGGGTCCTTTACACACTGAGCCACGTTTCCCAGTGAAGCTCCAGCCCTCAAAGGTTCCACATTCATGAACAGCGTCAAGAGCTGAAGACCGTGTTCATACACGCGAGCCAGGGGGGACATTTCACATTCAGCCACCACACAACGCATTCTTGGTCTGTCAGTGCTCAGGTGAGCTCAAGGGACCAGCACATTGGTTTCTCTGGGACCTCTTACCATGGAGCATTCGTGACTGTTCTCTTACCTTCTCTTCACATGGCTGTCCCTCTGTGCAGGTCCCCGATACCTTTTCCTCTTGCCGTAAAGATGACAGCAAGACCCTAGAGGTCTCATTTAACTTCATCGCCTCTTTAGAGTACTCCCATTCAAATGCAGTCATACTCAGAGTCTCCACTCACTCAGGATGTCAGCACATGAATTTGGGGGCAGAAACCACTCAGTCCACATAAAGAGAGGGCGTATTTCACACTTAGAAGCTTGAATCATCCTGGACACAGAATGGCCCTTTGGTCTGTCCCACAGTTCTGAGACCTGTCTCCAGCATGGCTCCTTACTCTGGTGAGTTGGGTGTGGGGCTAGATTCAGCACAACCTGGGGCTGGCTTTACTCTGTGAGAATGCTTCTGGCTGGAGAAGGCAGAGGATGCTGGGATTCAGGAAGCAGGCCAAGGCCAGGGCATGCCTTTGAGGGCTTGTGCTCTTACAAAAGCTCTTCCTACCCTTGTTGCTAGGAAACACAACTACAGCCTCAAGCCTGGGTGGTGCTGTGCAGGATGGCATTTCTCTGTTGGGACAGCAATCACATCCTGAGGACATTCTGGTGCCCTGTGTGTGACGCCAATCTAGTGGAGACTTGGAGGAAAAATTAGCTTCAAGGAGTTCAGATTTCCCTGAACTTTGGAACCAGCTCCCCTGCAGACATCAAAGAAGGAATGGGGTTGGGCAGAGTTGAGTGAGGGTTTTAGCTACTGCTGCGACAAGTCACTTCAACTATAATGTATCTTCATCCCAGAGGGAGTTTGGGCAGTAATCTCCTTAGTCAGGGCATTTGGAAGAGTGTCCTTCAGCCTCGCTAGCATCCATCCTTGTGATGGCTTCCAGCTTGTTTCCATGACTTCAGCCCCTTTCCATGGATCCCTCACGTCATCTTAGTGACTTCAAACAGAGTGAGTTTCTCATCATACAGTCCTGGAAGACAAAAGTACCACACCAGGTATCCTAGGCTGAAGCAGGGTGCCAGCTAGGTTGTATCTTCTGGGACCTCAGACCAAGCTATACGCAAGCCTTTCCAGCTCTGAGAGACTGCCAGTTGCTTTGAACTGTAAGCCCCTTTCCCGGGTGGCACGTTTAGACTCTTATCTCTGTCTGCCCCTGCTTCCCTGGTCACGTGGCTTCTCTTCACCCCCTGTCTTTCATGAGGACCCTTGGAGTTACATGGGATGATCTGTGGTTACTTCCCCATCTCAAGACTCCCCCCTGCAAAGTTTCCCTTGCTGTGTTAGGGGAACATACCAATAGGTTCTGGGGCCAGCATGTGAACATCTTCAGAGGCTGTCACGCAGCTGACCCCAGGAGGGTGGCCTTGGAAGCCTGTGGCTCTACCTTATGGAGCCCTAGCAGGACTGAGGGGGCAGCAGCTCAGTAGAGGCTCTGAGAAGATACTCCAGTATTCTGTGATGGGGTGAATGGGACAGGAGTCACAGTTGGAAGCCCTTTGGCTTGTGCCTTTCCCCTCAAGATGCTCACCTGGCTGACTGCTGTGCAAACCAAGTAGACTACTGAGCTCTACGGGAAACGTCTTTTAAGGGTTTGTGGTTGCCTTTGCTTTTTGGTGTTTGTGAGCTTACTCTGGCCATCCCCCGGTTGCAGCTGTGAGGCTCAGCTAAGAGGTTCCAAAGCCTGGCTGTTGTTGATGTCGTCGTTCTGCAGAGACAACTGCTTGTAAACGTTGCAAAAATAGAATCCTTTAAGTCCCCAAGAGATCTTCAAGCTCACAGCCTCCCTAGTCCCAACTTCTGCAAGGCTGACCTCCAACCCCACTGGCATCCATCTGGATGATGGCCCAGGCTGGCCTTGCCTTCACGACCTCTGCCTCTGCCCTGGCACAGGCTCTGGCCGTGGTCCTGCCCATCTGGCCAGCATCCTTTTTCCTCTTTCTCTTCCTTTGCTCCTGAGCATGACTCAGACGGAAGAACTGTCTGTGAGCAGTCATAGCGTTCTTGGAACTGCAGGTTGCTGTCCCAGGAGGAGTGACGTGGGATTAATGATGGGACTTTGAGGTGATCGTGCAAATCAGGCATACGGGCCGGAAAGGAGCAACGGTGTAGCTCGGTTGCCACTGATGTGTGAGTGTGTCCTGTGCAGGGTCTTCAGGGCAGTGGGGAGAGGAATGCCCTCTTTGCTGGGCAGCACATGGCAGCAGCTCTGTGATAGGGTGTGGCTAAGCATGGGAAAGAAACCTTCTAGTTCACAGTGGAGAAGCCCTAGCTGGGGCAGCAGTCTGGGGGACGTCAAGCTTCAACTGGCTTCTCAGTGAAGAGGTCACCAGGGCCCTTCTTGCTTTCTGGGGGTGCTTTGGAACTCCTCAAGAGAGTCAGACGCTGGTCATATCTAGAAGCAGGTGGGTCTCAGTTAAGGATGAAATACGGGTCACAAGTACACTTGTGGCTTACCCAAGGCAAAAATAGTGAGATGACCATGGGGACCGAACTCAGTAAGTCCCTGAAGACTCCCTGCCTGGCTAAACAGAGAAAGGCTGGGTCTTGGGAATGGAGGCGAGGAGGTGGCAACTCCCAGCACCTACCTATTCTTTACCAAGAAGGATGTTCCAGTTGGCATCCTCAGATTCCAGCCCCCCTTCTTTACCCTCAGAATTATCATGGAGGAAGACAGTTAGTCCTGGGTCTAAAGGCCAGTGTCCCAGTTGATCCACTCTGTAACCATGGGGATACAACTTTTCTGTTGTCCTCCTGAGTGGATAGATATCAGAGTTAACTGATACAGGCTGAGTATTGGAGAAGCCGACGTCACAAAGTGCGAGTCCCTGGAAAGCGGTCGCACAACGTCAACTTGGAGTTCTTAAACTTTCACTTCCACGTCAACGCTTTTAGCCCTGGGGCTACACTGCATGTCCTTGGCACCCTGGTGCCCCTGGTCGATGGGCTGTCTGCATTCTGAGTGTCCTGACTTACCTCTTCAGGCTTCATTTCAAATGCCCTCAGGAAGGAGTGGATGTTTCTGGTGTCACCTGGGCTGGGGGTCTGAGTGGTGACAAGCTTCCTCGTGGGAACCAAAGGACATTCAAGACACCTGTTCCTCTCAAAGGCCTGCTGCACCGAGTCTTGGCTGACGGAGGCGCCCTCCCTTCCCTGCCCCAGACTGGCTGGCCTGTGGGTTAAGCCTCCCACACAGACAGGCTACCGGAGGCTGACCTATGGGGAGGTGTCCCTCAAGACCTGAGTCACAGCCCGAAGAGGGCAGCTCCACCCTCTGGCCCCAGGCCTGCCTGGGCGGCACCAAGGTACACACCCTAGCTAGAACTTGCTCAAAGAACTAACATTTCATTTTCTCAGTAAATATTTTCTGAACATCTACTTTGCACAAGGCCCTGGGCCAGGCAATGGGGCGAGGTTGGCCTGTAGTTCATGTGCCTATGTGATGATCTTTTCTGTTTTCAGTAAGGATTGGGGGGGTCATCCATGTGGCGCCTGCTACCGAGGACAGGAATCGATCATTTACCCAAAGCAGCACAGAGCTGTGGCAGCTATGGAGAGAGGTGATGGGGGCAACGACACCTTCAATCTGAAGCTCCCAAACCCTCCTTAGCTGCTGTACTTGGTCCCCTCCCTGTGTGCTCACCCCCACACCAAGCCTGACAGCAAGCATGGCTGGAACCACTGATCTGGTCTTCCCAATGCTGGGTAAGGATAGCTTCCCCATCTGTCCAGGTCCTGCTGGGGTCCATGCTGGCCAGATCACCCCAAGGCCCTAGACTCCTGCTCTGGGTGTCCACTCTCTGTCCTCCATGAGAGCCACTGCACCTGCCCCATCTGCTCTCAGGAGGTACCAGGCACCTTTTTGCTCTAAAAGGTTAGTTGATCAGCGAGTGCCCAAGATACCCAAGTGTAATAACATTCGATTAGTACAAGGGCTGTCTCCAAGGCTGGTGGTAGGAGTGGCGTAGGCACAGAGGTTGACCTGAAGGAAGCTCTCAAGGGTAGAGGCTCCTAGTGAAGGTTTGTGGAAGCGAGATGGTGGATGAGAGAAGTAGAGGGGTTGGCACCTGATGGAGCAGGTTCTGGCAGGGAGCTCAGCCTGAAGGCTAAGGTAGGTTCTGTGGGGGAGGGATGGAGCCCAAGTTCTTTGCCCTGTCACTCAGGTTGGATTGGCCCTGGCTGACTCCGGAAGGCACACCGGCTAGGAATTCTTAGGCTAGGAGTTCAGCAAGAGAAACTCAGCATCAGGGACGGGTCAAGAGCAGCTGTGGGAAGGCCATTTGAGCAGGAGGGCACCTGCCCTCCACCTGAGAGGCTGCACCAGCTTTGCCAAGCGGAATGTTGCCCACCCTG